CTTGATTCTCATTTTTTCCCCTTACCTCTGCCCTCCCTTCACCCCCTCCTCCCCTCCCCATCTACAAACACTTTATTTTCATCTTTTCATTCTCTCACATTTTTTTCTTTTCACTTTTTGTTCTTCCCCTACCCATCACACCTTCCCTGCACCTTTAGCTCCTTTCTTCCCATTTCTAAATGTCAGTAATCTTATTAGAATCTTATGCATTGTTGCAGATTATTCACACCAGGGAAACTATTTGGTATTTACACATGTGTGACTTATTTATTTCACTTAGGAGTATATCTTCAATATGTATCCATTTTCCTATGAATGAATCTATTTTCTCGTTCTTTATGGCTGAGTAATATTCCATTTTATAGAAAAACCACAACTTCTTTATCCAGTTTCCAACGGATGGGCAAATAGGCTGTTTCCAAGATTTAGCTATTACAAACTGTGCCGTTATAAACATGGGTGCACATACTTCTCTGTGATATGATTCTTTTAGTTCTCTTGGAAAGATACCCAGCAGAGGGATGGCTGGGTCAAATGGAACCTCCAGTCCAAGCTCTTTGAGGTATCTCCATATTGATTTCCATAGTGGTTGCACTAGTATGCACTCCCACCAACAATGGAGAGGAGTTCCTTTCTCCCCACAACCCCGCCAACATTTGTTATTGGTTGATTTCTTGATAGCAGCCATTCTTTGTGGGGTGAGGTGGAATCTCAGTGTTGTCTTCATCTGCATCTCTCGAATGACCAGTGATGTGGAACATTTTTTCATACATTTATTTGCTGCTTTTACTTCTTTGTCTGAGAAATGTCTGTTCATTTTGGAGGCCCATTTTTGAATCGGGTCTTTATATTTGGGGGGACTGATTGTTTTGAGTTCTTTGTATATCCTTGATAATAGTCTTTTGTCTGAGGAACAGCTGGTAAAAATTTTTTCCCACATTGTAGATTGTCGAAGGCCCCAAAGACCCCGGAGGGGGTCTCTTCAGCTGCCTGCCTGCCTGCGATCACCCGACGGCAGGAGCGACCTTTCTGGGTGAATCTTAAAACAAGTGTACTCAGTGAAAGTACAAAGTTAGAAAAAAAAGAGTCTTACAGAGATATAAGAAAAATTTCACAAGTGATGCACAAATCATCTTGAATTTTTGTTATGAAAATCCTGAATATGTCTATTTACAGATATATGTATGTATGTATATAAATACACAAAAAATATCAAGATACATATATATATGTAAATCTGAACATACATTTTGATCATGTGACAGTAAATACTCAGCTATATATATATATATATATACACAAATATATAGATAGAAATAAATAACTCGATATGCATATAATAAAATGTATGTAAACTGTATCCTAATTACAATTCAATAAACCTGTTAAAAACAAAATTACCTGTAAGGAATTGTTACATATACATATACATATACATATACGTATCACATTGAAATTCTTATTTTCCCCTTCTCTTTTATCCATCTGTTTTTTATAGCAGTACTAGAATTTTGCCAGCATCACACTGATTTAATTTTGTGAGACCTTAGAACGTTAATTATCATTCTGCATATGAACTACATTGAGTATTTAGCAACAATGTATTAGCAACATAAGTGAAATATATGTCATGATTCAACATATATTTTATGTGCAATGTCATATTCATAAGAAAAGTTAATGTTCAGTGATCCATAGGTAGTATTAAACCTCTGAATTTTCAGTTTTACATATATTGATTATATTTTCACATAAATTTATAGAAGGAATATATAGATGTATATACATATATATGTATTTGGAGAGAGAGAGAGAGAGGGAGAGGGAGAGGGAGAGGGAGAGCCACCAGAAATCTATGAACACTTCAGGAAGAGAAATACTATGATTTTTAGAGAGATGGCCTTACCCTCTTACGGAGGACCTTAGCGAGTGTCATGTGGCACAGAAAGCCCGCTACACTGCTGGCCCTTAGAGAACAAATTGAAAATGCACCTGCAGCAATCTCCATGACCAAGGTTACCCGGGCAGCATTTGACAGAGTAATAGATGTCTGGAAGCCAACGGCCACTACTTTGAGCACCTCTTGTAATCACACAGACCAAAGGTAACTTGGACCGATCTCATGATACCTCAGTACGTTTAGTGTTAAAATATTTATAAGTTTTTCTCTTCTTGAAATGTGCGCAATTCTAGTTTTAAGGGAAACTAGACATGGACGGCAGAACCACAATAGGCCAAGGAGGGCAAGGTACTTAAAACACCCGTGAGGCAAATGAAACACGGAGGGAAGAAGGTGACGTGAAGTTGACTCCAGGTGAGAGAATGGACCCAAGCCAAGTTCTTCCTCTCTCAGGCTTGCTCCCCATGGATCTGCACTGCCCCGTAATCACATGAGACACACATTTCGATTAATGAGAGGCTTTGGATATTGAAGCCCAAGGGCCACAGAGCCTGCAAATAGTCTACCTGTGGCCGCACCGCCAGCCTCGCCCAGGTCAGGAGGCAGCAGCCCTGACCCGGCTCAGTGACCAGCATTTCCGAACAGCAGCCAGGTGCTTCTCCATCTGTGTTCTCAGAGAACAGAGCTTTCATTTATCTCCCTCACGGCCAGCCAAGATCTGAACGTCCTTCCTCTGTGTCGGCATCCAGGTAATGTAAAATCTGTTGATTTATCTTTTGTCAAAAGTGACAGACATTTGTGTATCAGTCCATGTTGTGGGCTAGGAGACGACACGTGAGGAACACGTGCACAGCTCAGTTTTGTGGCATTTGCCCAGTTTTCATCATCTTCACATATTCGCCTCTTTTATGCAGCAGTATCGGAGCAGTTTTCATTCTGCTTTTGTCTAACTCTGAGCTGGGGTTCAGGGATGTTTTCTGTCCTAACAGTCATCTTCTGCCGCACGCCTTGAAGGGTATTCTCTAATTCTCTGTCCTGTTTTTGGCGAGGTGCAAAGGTTTTCCTCACAATTTTCCTGGTTCATGAGTATTTCACAAGACAGTAGGTGGAAAGGAGAGCAAATCCCAATACACATTAGCCTGCCTATGTGTTAGTGTATGAAATACTCAAATTTAAAAGGCAGAACAATGCAGAAAATAAAAACAGAACAAATAAACCCATATCCTTGCATCTAGAATTACCCAATGTTGATAGTTTTCAGAGTACTTTTCTTTGAATAACAAAAAACATGCATAAACTTAGAAGTTATGTTCCACTGCATCTTCCTTTTGCAAAAATAATATTTAACTTAATTTTTCATACATCCCTTTATTTTTTATAGATTACACAATGTTAAATGATAGTATGAGTACGTCCATAAATATGTGTGTGTGTGTGTGTGTGTGTGTGTGTAATGTGTTTATATATAGTGGAATGTAGTAAGTAATTAGTATAAAGTAAATTCATTAAAGTTAATGAATCATAAAAAGAGTACCAAAACTGAAACCTTATTAAGTATAGTTTTTGACCAATGAAAAAAATGCCCTGCATGATATATAGTTTTGATATTTGAGTCAAGAAGGTGATTTGCATTTATATGTGAAAACTTTAAAACAAGTTTACCTGAAAGTAGACTAATGAGTCGTAGTTACAGAAAGAAATTAGGAAGGGAAGAGTCAAAGAACACTGTACCTTTGATCAGTACATTCCGTACGAAAGTATGGAAATTTTACATTAAACTCTGCTAATGTATACATAATGACACATTCAACTTTTTAAAAAGAAGAAGAAGAAAACAAGAACATGATTTAAAGATAGAATTACAGTATTGAAACTATAGAGGGATCATCATCATCGACTTTATCGTGGTTAGTGGTTCCATGGAGAAGGCTAAACATGATCCTCACATGATAATGTATAAGTGTAAACATGCACTCCTTAATTTCTGTAAGAATATATATTGTGAGCATGATGATATAATGTCAATTAATGGTGCATGGGGCACACTGAATTCACTATTCCTTTTGCTACCCTTCTTGAATACTTGAAATATTTTATAAAAAATTAATAATTTAACATCTGCGATATTTCAAAGAATTTATATTTTAATGTGCTCTAAAAGCCTTGTTATTCAATTAATTTTTGTTACATATTTTTATTACTTTGGTGGCTATATCTCTGTCTGCTTTCTTTTTTCTTTTTCCTTTTTTTTTTTTCCAGTACTGGGGATCAAACTGAGGACCTTGAGCTTGCCCGGGAGCATAGCTTCATTGAGCTACATCCCCGGCCTTTATGTCTGCCTTACTTATTCTAGTTGCTAGACAATTTATTTTATTTTTTTTGTAGACAATTTATTGAATGTGCATATAAAGGTGTGTGGACGTCATTGATGTTCATTAAATTATTCACTTTTCTTGCTTCTTTATGTATGCAAGATTCTCAATTGGAGTTTCAGTACACTGATTCTCTCCTCAAATGTGTGGTCTCTAAACAAAAGGCTTTTCTTAAAAGTATTCTATGCGCCTCTTCTTTCTACATTCTCTCCTCAACACTCCCTTCTGTGAGCAGTTTTATCAGGGAGTTCATTTGTATCCATGACAGAAACAGATCACAGCAGAACTATTAACAGTCCCATACATGAAATATTATTCTGACATAGATTGTGCTCTCATTCTCAGCTCTGCAACCTCCCCACAACATTTTTCTGTGGTTTCCCCATTATACAAGGGAGGACCCTGCGGCTTCTCATACAGCTTAAAAAATTCCCATTGACTAAGCAAGCACAGGAGCAGTTTTGCTTAGTTAAAACATTGGTTAAAGTGGTTAATGTTGAATTAGATTTAGGACAGTTTGCATTTAATTTTCTTGTCTGGCAACTACTAAAGAGAAAAGCCATATACGTTGTTTCATATTTGATTCCTATTAGTTGCTAAAACAAGGGTTTTAGCAAGTATAATTTGTATAATTGGGGGAATACAATGGGTGGCAGAAAATGTGATGAGATATAATAATAAGAAGATGAAAAGATTAGTAATATTTATTTCACTTTACAATATGCCTGCAAAAGGGAGGCTGTGGTCTTTGTTTCATGTCCTCTGTTTCCCAATCAGCCTCTTCAAAAATATGGAATCAGAAAACCACACAAGGGTAGCAGAATTCCAACTTCTGGGTCTCTCAGAGGATCCGGACCTGCAGCCCATCCTCTTGGGACTGTTCCTGTCCATGTACCTGGTCACGGTGCTCGGGAACCTGCTCATCATCCTGGCCGTCAGCTCTGACTCCCACCTCCACACCCCCATGTACTTCTTCCTCTACAACCTGTCCTTCACTGACATCTGTTTCTCTTCCACCACGGTCCCCAAGATGGTTGTGGACATCCACAAACAGCATAAAACCATCAGTTACAAAGGCTGCCTCACCCAGATTTGCTTTGTCCTGGTTTTTGTTGGACTGGAAAACTTTCTTCTTACAGTTATGGCCTATGACCGTTACGTGGCCATATGCAATCCCCTTCGGTACACAGTCATTGTGAGTCCCCATGTGTGTGTCCTACTGATCATGTTGTCTTTGTCCATCAGCATCGTGGACGCCCTGCTCCACACTCTGATGGCACTGCGGCTGTCCTTCTGCACAGACCTGACATTCCCACACTTCTTCTGTGAACTTGCCCAGCTCATCAAACTTGCTTGTTCTGACACCTTCATCAATAACATCTTGGTGTATATGGTGGCTGTCATATTGGCTGTTGCTTCTCTCATTGGGATTATTTTCTCTTATGTTACAATTTTCTCTTCCATCCTGAGAATGCCTTCCACTAGGGCAAAACATAAAGCCTTTTCTACCTGTGGATCACACCTCTCAGTTGTCGCCTTGTTCTATGGGACAGGTTTTGGGGTGTATGCTAGCTCTGAATTTTCTACCTCATCTAGCAGTTCTGCAATTGCTTCATTGATGTACACGGTGGTCACTCCACTGATGAATCCATTTCTCTACAGCCTGAGGAACAGAGATGTAAAAGAAGCCTTGAAGAAACTCATCAGACCATCTCCTTTTGTGAAGTCGTCTCATGTGCTTTGAACTCGAGCATCCAGAATGAATGAAAGAAAATACAGGCGCTCTGAGTGAGCCAACAAAATAGGCACTTTCACAACTGAGTCCATAGGCTTCAAAGTTCAGATGTCATAATGGTGGGCTGGGGATTTAGCTCAGTGGTTCTTCCACCGCCTTGTGAGCAAGGTCCTAAATTCAATCCCTGGTACAAAAAAAAAAAAAATTGATGGCATAATGGTGCAGGATGTTTTAACTTACATTTGCAAACTGACTTTATTGTTCTGCATCACTGTAATTTGTGAAAATTCAGGTTGAATTTCTGAGCTTGATTTCCTGGTCATTTTACATCAGAGCAAGACAATGAGCAAATGATTCTTTCTATACTAATGAGGGGGTGATTCTCAGGAGAATGTTAGTGACAGCAAGACAATGGGACGAAGGTGGGAGATAAATAAGAGTTTCACTGTGGGTAAAGAACAATCCTCAAGGGCAGGGGATTTATCTCAGAGGTTCAGTGTCCTGCCTTCCAAGCGCAAGGACCTGAGTTCAATACCTGGTACCAAAAAAAAAAAAAAAAAAAAAAAAAAAAAAAAAAGAACAATCTTCAAAGTATGGATAGTGCCATATAGTTTTTCAGAGTTCTTCTTACCTGAAGACCTGTTTTAACTCCTCCCCATGTCTGTAAGTTTGCCAACTGGTTCACAACAATATATGTTCCTAACAGGCTTCTATTCTGCTGAGGGACAACCTGAAACTAGAAGTATATGTTAACAGGGGAACACCACAAATTATCAAATGTTTTCATCGGATATCTCTTATGTTCTCATCATCTATCAGACGCTATGTGAAAATTTGATGCTAAGTGAAAATACTTTAAATATCTGTGTGGCTTGCTTTGCATGAAAAATAAACAACAAAAGTTTAAATTACCATGCTATGAGCATGTGTCTGCTTGTCTCTGTGTGTGTGCTCGCATGTGTGTGCTTTTTTGAGGCATTGCTGTTTTTGCTCAAAGTTACTTTGGCTATTCTAACTCTTTTCTGATTCCTCATGGCTTTTTGGAGTATTTTTCTAGCACTTTAAAGAATGTTGTTGGCATTTTAATAAGAATCACATTGAATCTGTACATTGTTCTAAGTAATGTGTTCCTTTTAGCAGTATTAATTCTTGCAGTTTATGAATGAAATTGTCTCCATTTTCTAATATCTGTTTAAATTTCTTAGGCGTTTATTAAAACTGATGGCAATGTATTTATTTTTTATTCGAAAGATAAAGAGTCACAAGATAATACAGGCTTAGAAAAATCAGGCTTTTAACAGTTGTGTCTCTGAAGAACAATAATCTTCTCCTGAAGGTGAGAGAGGAAAATATGATCATTTTGTCTCATATTTGACTGACGCACTTAATTCAGGCTCCCAAACTTACTTTGTGATGTGTAAAGATACACAACAGGAAGAGAAGCCAGGGATCTTCACTTGATTAATAAAAACTGCCCGGTGGATGTGTCACTTGGCTATAATGGGATAACCACTTTATAATTTATATTTCTCTAACCACCAGATCACATATCTCATAGATATTTTTGTTCAAGCAGTTAGGCCTCAATAAATTTTAAAAGAAAAATTTTAGGGAATGTTTCAGTGGGAAGAAAGGAACAGAAAAAAAACAGCCAAGAAGTCTGGGCAATTGGAACTCACATATTGAGCTTTGCAGTATGTTTGTGTGTGTGTGTGTGTGTGTGTGTGTGTGTGTGTGTGTGTAAGAATGTGTGTGTGCATGTGAGCAATAGTGCATGGCATTTTTCACCTCTCTGAAAGAAATTATGAAGTAAGGCAGATGAGTCAAGAAAAATACAAAGAAAGAATATCATTAGCTTAATGAATGAAAATTACACATGATGGTTCTTGTGCTGATTCTAGCACTAAGAGTCTTGGTTATACAGAAAAGGAAGGAAAATAACATCAAAGATACAAATATTCATTAGGCCTGAAAATATAAATACATTAAAGAACAATGTTTTAAATATTGAACAAGAATCAGGAGGCCCAAAAGTTATGAATTCCTAAACTAGGAAAAATTCAAAGTAAAAAATCTACCCTGTGAGAAAATGTCAAGTATTTTTGAATCTGCACAGGTATGAATATTATCAGTATAGATCATGCCTGTGTAATAAAAGCACCAAAAATAATCCAGTCTGGCCACCCAGTGTACATTCAATGCATACGAACGATTTACCTTCCTTACCATACTCATTTTAAATGCTTTATTGCAAGAAATAATAAAGGCATATTTGAAGCCCCTCATTAGTGTACTTGCTCAAACTTTGAATTTTTTCCTCCCAGGGTAAATCACTACACTAATGTGATATTAATTTATTATCCCCCAATTTATATTATACTTGGAAGTATTTTTACAAATATTAAAATCTGCATTGTACCGCCATTTAAAGCTGTCTGTAAACGAGGCACTACTGAAGGTGTGATTTATAACTGACATTTTTGTCATCCGTTTTTGCTGTAACGTTGATGTATTTAGCCTGCTTCGTGAGTCTTAACTCCCAGAGTATTCAAGTATATTATCACCACAGAATTTAGGTTTGCCAAACTGATGAGTGTTATGTTTATTTGCTTTTATTTTTTACTACATATACAGAGCGGCATCATCCAGGGACATAGAACAACATTCAAGACACAATCACTTTAGGAAGAGAGCATGAGGGTTGAGAGGAAGCTCAAGGTGGCAAAATTTGTGTGCCTGTTATTTTATTACTTCATTTCAAAAGACCTGAAACAAATAGAGCCAACGATGGCCTTCGCTTTGTTCTGGAAATATGTGAGGTGTTGTCATGTGTGACTGTTTCTGTTGTTACACTCTCTCCACGGCTCCTGTTTAAATATTTGGTAGTTTTAGGAAAAGGAACATTATGACTGGGAAGCTGCGGGGTGATCCTCTCTACCTCTTTACCTGCTTTCCCACATTCCTCACAATCCACTGGTAAGGGTATAGTAATGATCTCTGTGGACTGGTGGATTAAAAATCAGAAAAAGTGATGAAAAGTGAACACTTGTGAGGGACTAAATTGGTTCTTATATGTTCAAATTTAACTCCCAGTAGTGTGGATTGTAAAGGCATATGAAGATGGTTCTTTGAAAACATAATTAAACCTGGCATCATGGCATACGCCTGTCATCCCAGCACTCGGGAGGCTGAGGCAGGAGGATCGCTGTGAGTTCGAGACCAGCCTGGGCTACATAGTGAGCTCCAGGTCAGTCTCAACTATATAGTGAGACCCTGTCTCAAAAGACCACAAGTAAATAAAATAAAAACATAATTAATTTAAAATGTGGGCTCACTGCAGAAGACACAGAAAGAAGGCAGTAAGCTCAGAGCCAAGGACAGTACTTAGGAAGATCTAATCCCACCCACCCTTTTCTTTTCTTTTTTTTTGAGTTTAAAATGTAGCTTTTGAAGGCATCTACTAAATATATGAACATATATATAGTGTTGTCTGTTTGTATAACATGCTGCTATTCCAGTTACATTAGGATGAATAGGAATTAAAGAAAAATAAGAAATACAGTGGAAATATCACAATCATTATTTTTTATCATTATCATTATTATTATTTTTGGTACCAGGGATTGAACTCGGGTCCTTGTGCTTGCAAGGCAGGAGACAGAACCACTGAGCTAAATCCCCAGCCCTACAATCATTATTTAACCAGAGAAAATGATCTATAATATTCAAAGTGATTCTAAACCTCATCATAAGAGAAATGTAAATTAAACATAATATTTTACACACATTACACTGCCAGGGTAATTTTTAGGAATGATACTGAGCACCAAGTATACTAATGGTAAGGTGAAATGGTTCAATCTCTTCAGAAAACTCTTGAGAACAAATAAAAAGTAAAAAGTCAATCTGCTGTAGCAAGTAATTCTGGCCCAAACATAAAATTATCTTTTATTTCCTTCAGAAGACACAGAAGAGAATGTTAAAACTGATTTCTACAGAATGGGAGAAAAACAGAAAGCAGAATTTCACCATTATCAGAAGTGCTTCCTGTTTTTAATGTCACAAAACATAAAGATGAAGTTAGAGAATAAAAGTGAAACTTTTAAGCATAACACGATAAAGCTCGAAGCACAGGATAAGGATAACAAGAGGATATGGAATTCATTTATTTAAATTGAATATTAACACAGCCAAAAAGAGGCACATTTGTGCACTAAACTATACAGGAATGTCTAAGGGATTCCTGTGAAAAACACTTGTGTAGGACACAAAAGATAAAATACTGGCTGCAGCAATGAGGTTTGTACCTTCAGTTAGAGAGTTCCTTCTTTACCCTGGGTCATCTGTCTTAAAAGAAATCCTGATTGCCTTGAAGATCCACCAAGAAACTCCAGGAAAACCTGCTATTCAGCAAATCCTCCTTTCTAAAGCAGTTAACCTTTGCCCATTTATCACATGAGTTCATCGTAAATTACTAGAATTGGACTACGTTGAATACTTTAATTCAGTTCACCAAGGAGATTCTACTTGAACCACGGAGAAGTTACTTAACATTGACATAAAAAAATGACACTCACTTTTCCGTCTTTTGCCTCCTGTCCAGTTACAACACTGGAACCTGCTGCTATTACCTGGTGACCTGGGAGTGAAATAAAATGAGGTAACCCCAAGGAGGAGTGGTGGAAACCCTGCTCGGTTCTGGTCTATGCTCTCCCTCTGTTACTCTCCATACTGCTAGATATACTAAAGTTACATTTTTTGTGTGTCAGGATAGAATGTGGCTTTGCTATGAATTTGAGAATCATCTCCAAGAATTTATATCCCCAATTATTCTAATTATGGGCATTGACACAGAAAAGGATGAATGTTTGTTCCCTCCAAAGGTTGCATTTGATCACTAACACATCTCAGGAATAGTTTCAGAGGTTATAAACATCCCGATCCCCTTGCACCAGGTAAAAACTAACTTGATGCTATGCCGGGCATGGTGGCGCACGACTGTCATCCCAGCACTCGGGAGGCTGAGGCAGGAGGATCTCTGCGAGTTCGCGACCAGCCTGGGCTACAGAGTGAGTTCCAGGTCAGTCTCAACGACATAGTGAGATCTTGTCTCCAAAAACAAACAAACAAAACTAACTTGATGCTCAGATTCACATGGTTAGAACTGTATGGCCAGGGGGAAGCTATGTTATCAATGAACTTAGCTTAACTGTTTCTCAAGTTGTTTGTTCCTACGAGTGTACTACAATAAAAATTTCTAAAACTAGTTTTCCTGCTTCGAGACCTGCTTCTGTGAAACTCGAGCAAAGAGCTTGTGTTTGGAGAGCTCAAACCCTCTTTAGAGTCACAGCTTTCTGTATAATATCAGAAGCCTATCTTCACCTTTCAATTCAGAATAGCACATATATATAATAATAATAATTTTAGACAGCAGTATTGTCTATGCACATGAAAATGCAATCATGTGGGGATGATTCATGTAAGAATCAGTAAAATTTTAACTTGCTTTTGTATATTATAAGAAGGCATTTGTACTAATTCTCTGTAATAAAAATGGGCTAAATGTTTAATTGCTATTTCACTCTCTTTTTTTTGAATTCTGGTACCAATAGCTTTCTGAGAATAATGGGAAATATTTTAGGGCTGGTTTTTGCAACGAATACAGTTTTAGATGGCACATATGGTCCAATCAATAAGACAAGAAATTAATACAGAGATAGATACAAGGTTCTACTGTTCAGAAAAGTTAGTCCAAAAATACTCATTCAGAAGCGAACAGGGGTGCTATTGCTATATGAACATGGCACTCAATAAATAGACTGTTTAGCAAAAGATACGAAGAAAGAAAATTGTATTTTCTTCCTGGTTCACAACAAAAGCAAAGAATAAGTTTAAGGTGACTACAGATTTATTTGCAAAAGCAAGACTGTGTAACTTTTCTAGAGGCAAAGTTGTCTTTCATTATCAAAACATACTGAGTTTAGACCAGCAAGAAAAAACATGTTAAAGCTAAGCATTGTGAGCACCTAATAAATACTATAAAATGCATGCAGAAAGAGATTCACTTTGAAAAGCTGAATTAGCAATGAGTGGAAAATCCAGAATTGACTTTTCCATTTACTCGAAAGGAATATCATAAACTTGTTTAAAAGATAGGCAACTCAATGGAAATGTCATAAAAGCATATATCACATGGAAGTAAAATAAATGACAATGATTCTCAACCTCATAATAAAGGCAGTGTGGAGTAAATGTTATAGAACAAGCACTAGGTTCTCAGAATAAGTGAAATTGCTTGAGAAATGATGTTGAACAGCAGCAACACGTAATACAAGGGTAATTGATTAAACCACATAGAAAAACATTTTGGAAAAACCAAAGCATGACGATTCACTCTGTCACAGACAATCATTGAATCCCAAGCATAAAATTATGTTTTACAAGATTTGAAGAGCGTTCAAACTTAAAAATAATCACTAAAATTTCACCAACGTAATATGAATGTATCCCAACTCTGCAGAAGGATTGTAAACATTAGGTACCGCAAACATTTACTAATAAAAAAAAATGTAGTATCATCAACACCAAAACTTGTTTTTATTTAATACATATAATATCAAAATTTTAAACCATCGAAAATGGATGAGTAACACATAAATACAATAGAGTAATTATGATGCAAAATGATGAAACTAACAAAGGATGTGACATTTAGTAAATTTAAAATTTAACAAGGTCAAAGAAAAGCACAATTATGCCATAAGTCTGTAGGGTTCTCTACGGGAGAGATTAAGCTGCACTGGGCTCCAACAAAAATGCCAGTTTGATAACAAAATGCTGAAGTATTTGCCATGGGTGATGGTGTCTGGATGTGCAGGCTATAGTAAAATAACTTACCAAGATCAGAGTAAGGAGATTTCTTTAATACAAGACAAGGAGCAGTGGGTGAGTACTAGGGAGAGGGAAATGTAGGGAAAGTAAGCACTCTCTGTCTGGGTGTCTTTAGCCTGAAAAAAATTATAGCAAAACATACAGGCATGGGAAGGCTCTGTTAGAGAGCAGAAGGAAGGCCCCTATGCTCTTTGTGTCCCCCAAGATGGCAAAGTATATCATCCTTACAGAGAGAGAAGAATGGGTATGAAATGGTGTAATGATCACACTCACCATAGGAGGAAACATTAGTAAGTGTTTAGCTGTAGGTTTTTGAAACAGCTCATTTGGGAGCACATGACTCTGATATAAAGCAACATGGAGTCGTCAGCGGGAGGACAAAACACCCCCTCCCTTGTTGCCCAGCACTCCACAGTGCTCGTAACAAATAACGGCTGAATTAACCCAATATCTATCTCCTCAAATTAAATCCATCCTTATTGTCTCAGTGTCTTCTACCCTTTTGCCTGCTGTATAGTGAAACATGATCACATTTACAGTTCACCTAGATAATCTAGAAAATCCCCTCCTCGTGAATCCTCTCTTCCCACACAAATAAGATTGAGCCATGCATCAGAAAGGATAATCATCTACTACTGGCATAGGACCAGGAGATATGGTGAAGGACACATCCACTTCACGACAGAGATGAAATCTGATGAATCCATGGAAAAGTGAGACATTGAGGCACCCAGGGAAGGGGTCCTGAGATTTTTGTCTCTGACCAGCCAGGTACAACACCAGCATTCAGAACGATCGTCTGAGGCGAGTGTGATGCTCTGTATAAATTGGGAAACTGATGCTAGCATGACCTCATAAAGGATGGAGTTTTGAAGGAACATTCCAATAATTACTTAAAGGAGTGTGAAAGGTCAGTACCTTACTTCACAATAAGCTGCCTGTAGAAAGCAACCTTCACGGTCCTGATTGTAGGGATAAGATGAATATAGTCTCCAGATACTAACTTGACCTTGTTTATAAGTTTCCCTACCCTATCAATCTACTAAAAATGCCTTCTTCTGAGACGTAAATTATCATTAAAACAGAGCTCCCAGCTGAGCTGGGTGCTGCTTCAATGGAAATAAAGCAATGAAATGGAATTTAGAAACAGATATCATTTTTGAAATATTACAGAGATGGATAAAACAAAAGTCAGGTCTTAAACTCAATATGAAATATATTTAGCCAGCATATAATGCAGTCATTTTTGGAAGACTTTAGTGATGGAAATCTCAGGCATTCTAGCTCATTATAACTTGTGTCACTTTTTAACTTATTTTATAAACTCTTAACTCAAAGTCAAGGACACAATCTGAGAAAAAGTATCCTACTAAACAGATGTCTCAAAGCTCCCTGTATTTCCCTGCTTTTCAAACTGTAGATAAAAGGGTTTAGCATTTGAGGGATCACAATGTACATCACTGAAGCCACTACATTCTTAATGGAGGAGTCAGTAACTGCGGAACTCATGTAGACTCCAAAAGCTGTCGCATAGAACAAGGTCACAACTGAAAGATGAGACCCACAAGTGGAAAAGGCTTTATACCTTCCCCCCACTGACGGAATCCTCAAAACAGAGGAGATGATTTGAGTATAAGAGAAAATAATCCCAGAGAGAGGAATACCAGCAAATAGGCTAGTCACCGAATATATCAGAAGGGTATTGATGAAGGTATCAGAACAGGTGAGCTTGATGACCTGAGTAAGTTCACAGAAGAAGTGAGGGATTTGCAGCTCTGTGCAGAAGGACAGCCGCAGTGCCATCAGAGTGTGGAGCAGGGCATTCACAGTAGTAACGAGCAGGGAGAGTAGAACCTGCAGAATGCAGAGTCGGGGCTTCATGATGACCGTGTACCTCAGAGGGTGACAGATGGCCACATAGCGGTCATAGGCCATCACTGCGAGGAGACAGTTTTCTAATCCACCAAAAATCAAGACAAAGCAGCTCTGGGAGAAGCAGCCTGTGTAAGAGATGTTACGGTCCTGTATTTGCATGTTCACCAGCATCTTTGGGATGGTGGTGTTGCTTATACAGATGTCAGCAAAAGACAAGTTGGAGAGGAAGAAGTACATGGGGGTGTGGAGGTGGGAGTCAGAGCTGACGGCCAGGATGATGAGCAGGTTTCCCAGGATGGTGACCAGGTAGATAACCAGGAACAGGCTGAAGACGAGGGGCTGCAGCCCTGGGCCATCTGTCAGTCCCAGCAGAAGGAATCCTGAAGCAGTTGTTTGGTTTATAGGTTTCATACTGCTGATGAATTTAACAGGAAATATGGGCAGACAAAAATGTATGATTTGTATGCAAGCAGCAAGATCAGCACTGGGATGATGTTAGACATAAAAAATCCTGATACCACTTTGAATTATTTTTGATAAGTTTTTATCTTTTTTTAATTTAAATTGAATTTATTGGTACATTCTATGTATACAGTCCAGTTACATTCATCACTGGGATCTTTTACATGACAGGTCTTGCTTCTCATTTTTTCCCCTCGTCCCCACCCTCCCTTTACCCCTCCTCCCCTCCCCACCTACAAACACTTTAATTCCATTTTTACGTTTTCTAATATTTTTTCCCTTTCCCTTATTCCCCTTCCCCTACCCTTCTCACTGTCCCTACACCTTTAGTCCTTTCTTCCTGTTTCACATTGCTAATTAGCCCGTTAGGATCCTGAGTACTATTTTAGCTTTTCACACCAGAGAAACTATTCGGTATTTACATGTGTGTGACTTATTTTACTCAGGAGTATATCCTCAAAATGTACCCATTTACCTATGAATGAATCTACTTTAAAATATGGAACGCTTCACGAATTTGCATGTCATCCTTGCACAGGGGCGGTGCTAATCTTCTCTATATGGTTCCAATTTTTAGTGTATGTGCTGCCGAAGCGAGCACTATTTTTGCTAAGATTTGAAATGAGGACCAGGAATGTGTGTTTTAATAAATATTCCAGAGGAATTTGGTGTCTCTAACATTTGAGAATGAGTGCTTTAAATTTTTTTTCTAATTTATCTTGTGAACCACAGTAGCATTCAAATATTTTCTTATATTCTTCCTCCATTCCACTTCTTGACACCTCCTCTAACTTCCATTGCCTTTATAATATACTAACTCTTATTCATTCTGGTGCAGAGATTGCAACAACAACAAAATTACACATAGATGTTCCTTCAGAATTTTTCCGTGTGTTCAGATGCAAAGAAGGGTAAGAATGAACTCATCAAGTATGTCTTCCAGAGAAATGGTTCCCAACTATGGCATGCCCAAGAATCCCCTAAAGCCCTTGTGGAGTTTTGGATGCCATCAGTCCCATGGACACACAAGGACCATATCATGGCCCCAAAGTCCATAGTGTTTGGCAAAGACTAAGTCAGAGCACAGATTTTCTCAGTACTTAGACTGATCTTTTGACTCCTCTCGGCCAATGCCTCTGGAGAAGTACACACTTAGCCTTGTTACATGTTTCTGGATATCTCACAGTTTCCTTTTAAAGCCTTAATAGGTTCTTCTTGAACATAGTGTCAAAATTTCTCTTGATATTTACGTCTGCTTTTTTCCTACCCAATGAGTTGATTGCGGCAAGTGCAAGACACCCACCTGGTTGGATGAGAGATTAGAAAATGTTGCCTATAAGCCTGAAGTGCGTAAGACTCCCTTGAAGATAGAAATAAACTGGTCTAGCAGTTAAACGAGGTAACAATGTTGAAACTCTCTGTTATCCTAATGGAACTTCTGCCATTACTAAGTTTGGCAGCATATCATTAAATAAAATAAACAAATACCGGATAGCTACAGAAGACAAAGAATGCAATACACCCACTGCCGTGAAAAGAGATGGAAATGAAGACAAATTTTTGTTCTTCAGAAGATGAGGGACTCACAAGATATATAAAAAAATAATCTTGGACCATCAGGGTTACTAAAAAGAGTGTCCTGGAGACCATTCGTCTCCCTTTCTCAGGGAAGAAAGAAACAGTTATGACCATGATGATCATTTGGTGTCATAGCAAACTGCCACACTCTGAATTTAATCTAGGACCCAGTACTGTACGTATGAATTGGAAACATTTAGTCAGATAGGAACACTGTGTCATTTGTTTAATGGGAACTGCTTGATAGAGGTGTTTTTTAGCACTGATGTGATAATCAGGTCACAATGTATACTTCTCTATCATGTCGCATATCCTAAATCTATACAGTTTTAAATTTTGCCCTAATACCCACCCCCTGCCCAAAATTCAAGGGGACTTCCTGGAGATGATTTACTCTCATGAAATAAGTAGACCAAAAGCTACTAGCTCACTGCTGAGCAAGTGGGATTCTCGTACAGATCTCCCCTATCGTGTGTGTGTATATGTGTGTGTGTGTGTGTGTGTGTGTGTGTGTTTTCTTCCATTAGTATAACATACAGTACTTTTCACCCATGAGAAAGAAGTGATGGTTTGGGACAAGCAGGTCAGGAAAAAATAAAAGACACTGGTGGTTTGGTTTTATTTTTTTCTAACTTTGTTTTAGAATACGGTTTCACTCATTAATAAAGTTAATAACATTTATAAATTGTACCATATATTTCAGTTAAATTCGAAATCAGTTACTCCGTGTTATTAATTTCTCCCTTATGAATATTACTGAATGTTCTATACAGATTTGCAGTACTTCTTCTTGCAGTTTGTGTAGTTTATATACTCTAAATTTGAAAATGTGTTATCAATCAATAGTAGAATTGTCGCTGGAGATTTATATAATTTTGTATTGCTTTAGTTAAAGCCCAGGTACTAAAATGTTTAAACGCTTAGCATTGCAATATTTATGTTAAATTAATTTATACATGCATGTGTTCCTCTTTCCACAGTGGTCACTGAACTGTTTTTTAACTTCTATATACCGAAGTGGTGCAGATAAATGCCACGTTAGTCATGTGAACAAAGTGATACGTAAAATAGAGACGCTGTATAAAAAAATCCCAGTATAAACTTTTGAAGTTTGGAAATTCTAACGTGTACTCTTTCTCACCTTCTTTCTTGTTCTAAAAGTTGTCATACAGACACATTGGAAGCTTCATATCTGCACCAAATTTCCTGTATTTTTAACACGCGTGACGGACTTACTTTCTCTTGAGTATAAGAGCAATGAAAGCAGGAACACGTCAAGCTTGATGAATGCAAACTTCAGTAAAGGTTTTTTAGAACTGCCTCTGAGAATCTGTTTAGGAAAAGAAGGAAAGAAAGAGACCTCAGTGGTACCAATGTTCACTCGACATGGACATAGGAGGACACATGTAACAAGGAACATGAATTAAATAAATTATACAACTGAACCACACATTGATACATACCTACCCTAGATCTTCTGTCAGTACTGAGGATTGCACCCAGGGCCTTTGCACTCATCTGTACCTCCAGCCCATTTTTATTTTGTATTTTGAGACAGAGCTTCATTAATGTGCCCAGGTTGGGCTGGAAGTTGTGATCCTTTGGCTACAGCTTCGCAGAGTGGTGGTGTTCCAGGTGTGCCGCCGTATCCAACAAGGAATATATTTTATATGAAAGAAATGTACACCATGAGAAAAATTTTGATATGTTCAAACCAGATCTGGTAGGTATGTTTTCACAATGCATAAAAGAAAGCATCGAAATTAATGAAGGGCTTGAATGCTCAATGATCCCCATTTTTAAATGTCTCATCTTTTGTCATCTTTGCTATAGCTGTTTTTATTGTAAGAAATAATAGAGGCATATGTGAAGCCCCTCACCTCATTTACTTGCACAAACTTGAGATTTTTCCTTCCCTGTGGAAATCACCACATTTCCATGATACGCATTGTTCTACCAAAATTTTTGTTATACAGGATCGCCCTTTTACAAACCATAAAGCTGCATTTTAAGCATTTAATATAAGCCGGGTGTGGTGGTGCATACCTGTAGGCCCAGCATTTTGAGAAGTTGAGACAAGGAGATCACTCATTTTGAGCCCAATCTGGGCAACTTAGTGACTTAGTGAGAAATTGCCCATAAGCAAAGAAAATTAAAAAATAGGCTGAGGTGTAGTTCAACCTTTAGTACCACAAAATAATTAATTAATAAGTACATAAATGGATACAGTTTAATATAACAGGACTCAACTGCATATGCCATTTGTAACTGACATTCTGGGGTAACCTATTTTTATTAGTTGGCTTCACAAATCTCAACTGCCAGAGTATTGGATTATATTGTAACAGCGTAATTCATTTCTGCCTTCCCTAAATTGGGTATTGTAGTTACTGTCTTTTATGACTCAACGTGCAACATAGAGCTGTACATGGAGGACACCATTACATCCAAGTGGTGCACTCTCAGAAAGGAAAGGAGTGGACGGAAGGAAATACAGAGGTTGTAGATTCATTCTATGCATGTCTTATTTTACTACTTAATTTTAAAAGACTTGAAACAGACTTGTCAAATTCCAACATTTCTTAGTTGTGCAAAGAGAAGATGGGTGTTCATAGTTTTCAAAATCAAAACATGTAGACTTGGAAGGTGCTGGGTAAGACTTTCTGAATCTCTACCTCTTTCTTCAGAGTCCTCATAGCCCGCTACAGAGAGTGGACAATAGTTCTAGACAATGATATATGAAATACAGCAGGAAGAATAAGAGAGGGACTGATGATTACGGACTCAGCTTTGTTCACCCCAAATTCATATTTGAGTCCTTAACCAGCTGCTCCTCACCACTTATGTGTTTGGAGATGTTTCTTGGAAAAGTTGAGTTAGACTGCGGTCATTAAAGTGAGCCCCAATCCAGTACAACGGAGGTCTTTATAAGAAGAGGAGATGAGGACACAGAAACCCACAAAGGTGAAACCCACATTACAACATAAGGAAGAAGACAGCTATCAGCAACCGTGGAAAATACCTCAGAAGAATTCACTCCTGCTAATAGTTTTACCTTTGAATTTCCAACTTCCAGAACTAAAGAAATAAAGGCTTCTATTTGGAAGCCACCCAGATCCCTCCCCCAAACCACCACAAGAATTTAAGTAAATATCGGAACGTTCTGAAATGGCCAACATGTTGGTAGAAGGGCAGATTTCTGCTCAGGAGAGCCTGGTGTGTATCCGTGGGAACTACGCATGTACATAAGAATGTGTCAGGAGGATGACAGGGGGTTGACAGGAGAAGCATGAACCCTTGGTTCTCATCATCTCCTGCATGTGCTCTCCTTACTGGTTTTCCAGGATACAATGCTAGTGAGATACTTTTTT